TGCGGACATCATGACGCCGTGGTTGTCCATTACTACGACCGTTTTGCCATTATTGCTGTCCCCTCTGCGTCCGCCCTTCTGTAAGTATATTATTGACTGGTATCTTGTGGTATATCTGTATCGTATTTCTATTTCAAGGATGCATTGCATCCGGTACATTGCAACGCACATGGTCTGCATGTTACACACGTGCAGTTTCGTCGGCTTTGGGCTGAAGATATTTTTCCACCAAACCCCTCACCTAATGTGGATGGTGAGTTAAAAATGTCGAAAATTGATGTCACGCGTTCAGTCTTTTGGAAACTGAAGAGCGTTGAAACATTCATCATGCCAAGAAAACTCAAATTCTAAATTCAGCGTTAAGCCTAGCAGGCTCACAAGGTTAGGTGAGCAATGCAGTAACACAACGTTCTTTGACATTTAGGTTTAAATGGTAGGTAACTGGGCCGAAAATCTGCGCTGGTGACAGAACAAAATAAAGGAAAGGCAGATGTTTTTAAGATGTTAACACATGCCCGAGTAGCCGGCTAGATACTCTTCGCTCGGGTGGGTGTCAATTTGACCCCCCTGAGGTCTCAAGAACTAAGAAAGCTAGATACATTAAATTTACAAGGTTTATTGATCTGCACGTGAACTCACTTAGGTCAAAGTTTCAGGTTCCTAGGTCATGATCTTTGGGTCAAAAAGTCAAACAAGGTCAAGTTACGGGTTGGTCTCCAAAGTGCCCTCAGAACCTAGACAATCGTTTCTAAGCAAAATCTCACATTCTCATTCAAGGTCAGTGACCTCGTTTGACCTTTTGAAGGTCAAGGTGACCAAAGAAATACAAGATTGCTTTAAGTTTTGCATTTGACTAAGCGACAAAGATTACGCTAGGCGGTATGCTCCTAAAACAAAATGTTGACCTGGGTCATTTTAGGTCAATGATCTATTTTGACATCCAAGAAGTCTACGGAAGATGTATAATGCAGTTCCTGCTATCAATCAACTCGAAATGAGCACCAGAAACTATCCCATACAGCAAGCCCCAGAGTAACAAAACAGGTTGGTTTTGACCTGGGTGTGTTCAAGCAAGTTCGAATATATTGACAGCGGGAACCGCATTATGCATCTTTCATTGACTTCTTAGAGGTCAGAACAAGTCATTGATCTAAGATGACCCGCGCCGACACTTTGTTTTAGGACCATACAGCCTTGCGTAATCTTTCTCGCTTATTCAAATGCAAAACTCGGAGCAGTCTTGTATGATTTTGGTCGCCATAACCTTCAAAAGGTCAAACAAGGTCATTGGCCTCAAATGGGCTTGTGATCTTTGCCTAGAAACAGTTGCTAGGTTCTGGGGGCAATTTTGAGACCAATCTGGAACATCACCTTGTTTGACCTTATTTGACCTGAATGTCATAATCTAGGAAGCTCAAACTTTGACCTAAGTGAGTTCACGTGCAGATCAATAAACCTTGTAAATTTGATGTCTCTAGCTCTCTTATTTCCCGAGATCTCAGGGGAATCCAATTGACCCCCATCCCACCCAAGCGAAGGATACCTAGCCGGCCACCCGGGCGCGTGTTAAAGATGGTTCGCACAAAATTACTCATATATTCATGGCTCCTTACATTCTAACTTTTCAAGATCATGTCTCATCCTCGGAGAAGGCTGAGTGGCACAAAAAATAAGTTTCGAGTTTTAAAGGAAAAAAATTGTGCACTTCTATTGGAAAACATCTTTTGGTACGGAGAACACAAATCAAGCATGACAAGTTAAAGTAAAACAGGGTCCTACCTTCTCTTTGATACATATAAGAAACACTCATAACGAGAACACTAAAAAGACTCAATGAGAACAATATTGCCACAATCACATCAATTGTGCTCACCGCCCACCACCTAATAGTTCAAGAGTTGTGCAAGAGTTTGTCTGTTTAGGGCCGGAGAGAGTTCGCTAATGAATATGCTTTTCCAAATTTGAAGGCGTCTTCTGTCATTGCACATCCGTAATATGTCACTGTTTTCTGTCAGTTGTTGTGTCAATATCACGTCGTGTTCGTGTCGCATGTGGTCCAGAGGTGCGCCGTCACGTAAATGCATTGTCTGGCGTCTTGAGAGTGTCGTGGTCACATCAATGTAGTGTATGGAACGAAGTTTGCAGCCTTCGATATTGCAATTAAATTCATACACTACATTGATGCATTTTAGTTTGTTGGGTTTGCCAGGACTGTTTCTCATAAGAGAGTTAGATATTTTCTTGTCACGAAAATATATGACGATGTCTATTTTGTGGTCTTGAACATATCTAGAGATAATTTCCCATATAGCTTTTTCGCCTTGTTTGTGGGCAGATGTCCTTTGATTTTGGTAACACAGTTTGACGGGTTGGTAGGATGTCTTGTCTTAGTTTACTGTCAAAGTGTCTTGACGTGCGTCGTTGTATTTCGTTTTCAATGTCAGAATAAAAACCGTGTTGGTTAGGTTAATGCCTGTGTCTTTTTGTGTGCTTTTTTTGTCGCGTAACTTTGCCCGAATGCCGATCCGAACGACGTAACCGCTATCTAAGAGAATCAGGTCGTTCAAATTGCCTGGCATAGCTAGTGCTGTGCCGATTTTGGTTGCATTGCTACCCGTGTTTGCCGCGTAACACATGCAAGCATGTTCGTTTTTTAAACCCATAAGCTGAACATGGGCAGCAAAAACCTCGAAATGGTAGAGACGAGACAAAACAAAAAGAAATACAGGTCGGATATCACAACGACCAAGGGCCACAGCAGATGGTCTTGACAATTTTACACGGTCAGTGAATAGTCTGGGTGGCCTCTTGACACTTCGTGTCATCGTAATTCAGTATCAGTAGAACATCTCGCTCACATCTTACGCTTTAACTTCTCAGACCCTACAGTGTCCGTTCCGCTGAGAACGGCCGGCAGCTGGCAGTTCACATCCTGCACGGTACGTCGGTTCTTTCAACGTTGGAGCACTTGTCACGAAATATCAACAACCCTGGCGCCCTAGGTCAAATGACCACGCAAAGAGCGCTGTTAAACCCGCGAAACGCCTGGTCCTGACTACATACAACAGACCTGGGCCTGAACAACGATGATTTCTCCATCGCACTTCCGGAACAGTGCATCATTCTCCTAGCCGACGGAGCGCAAATCTTGTTCGGACATTCCCTGGAGTATTCTTTCCGGCACACCATCGCGCATTCCCCGCGATAACGCTGCGGCACGCCCACTCCGTCCCTTGGACATCAGTGCCAACGCCTCCACTCGCCGGTGGGATCTGACTGGACTGATCGTCGGTGTCGGCTCCAGGCGCATATGCTCGATCAAACTGAGAGGCGGCCATATCCTCAGGCCGAATCGGCGGCTCCCGCGGTGATATCGACCACTCGGCGAAGACGCTGTGGACTTGCTGTTGTGCAACGCCTGTTGCTCCGACGTCTGTGCCTCCCGTGCCACCCGCCCCGACACCAGTCGCTCTCCCACCTCGCCCCGCCACCAGCCGCCCTCCTACCTCGCCCCGACACCAAGTCGCTCTGCTACCTCGCCCCGACACCAAGTCGCTCTGCTACCTCGCTCCGACGCCAGTGGCTCCCCTGTCTTGCCCCGAGCATTGCCGGTGACGGGCGCCTGACTGCCTCGGCAGGCGTCAGGCGTCATTGTGAGGCGTCCGTCACTTGGAGTACAGATAATGACTCAGAGTAGTAAATCGACAGGCCTACCTCATGTTGTGTTTGGTCTTTATTTTATCATTTCAGATGCTGTGTTTGTTCCGTCGTTTTGAGGAGGGTGTGTGATGGAGGACAGGCGGAATGAGGCTGCCCACCCAGCTACGGCAATTCGGACAAGCAGGCATGGTTGCGATGGCGCAAGCTACCAAGGGGTACGCGTGCAAGGGGAGTTCGCGTTAATTTTTTAGGTAGTCATGCGTGCTCAAGAACGTCTGACCTCGACAAAAATGTCCTTCAGTGCGACTAGGCAAAGGTTCTGAAATCAAAGGCAAAGCTGTAAGCACTCCGTGATGCGCTGTGTTATGGGGAAGAATTGTTCCAGTGGAGTAACTTCTCATTTAGTTGGTTGGGCCCCGGGCCGAAAGGCGGGCCAGATTATGGAAGATCCGGCTTTCGGTAGCGCTTTAGGCTAACTTAAGCCATGATCCCCGTTTGGCCCCACCAGTTTATCTTTCATAACTACGCCTCTGGATTGTTGAACAGTGCATCACACAAACATTGAAAGAGAAAGCGCGTCGCTTTGTCACATGGTGGCCATGTTATGTGCCTGGGCTATGTGTAAACCGTTCGAAAGGCTATCCGTCGTGAAATCGGTCGTTGGGCAAAGGCCGACGGGTCTCACCTGTCTGCATGCTCTGCGTGAGGCGTCTGTTGTCTTTTCACACGTCTGCAAGGCTAGCGATGTGAGACGCGTGCCTGCAAGTTGCACAGGATGCACTGGTGCACAAGGCGGTTTCCACAGTTAACTTTCGAGCCTTTGCAGTCCAGGGCTCTGGCGTGGGCGGCTTTAGGTCCGTTCGTTTTGCATGGGTAGTCAGGAAATGTGACCAGCGCCAAAGCCGGCGGCCAGTCCTTCTTAGCTGTGACGACAGGTCGGTATGGAGCAGCCAGGGCAGCAAGAAGTTGGCACCGTTTAATAGGCGGTTGGACAAAGAATCGCAATGTGCAACATTTGCGATGAGTCACGCGCTGAGGAGGGGTCGAGATGGATTTGCCCGTTTTCGAAGTGTTTTTTTTTCTCGTTTTATCCACAACTCCGGTGGAGGAGCCAGTCTCCGGTAAAGATGTGAATTTAACTTTAAAAAGCTGACCGACGTACTGTTTACATTTCGCGTGGCCGGTACAAGTTTGTGTGACGCACGGTTGCGTCAGCAGTGGTGGGGTAAGTCGGGAATGTCGGTATTTGGTACGCCGGTGACACGTTCAACACGCCGTCGTCGAAACTACCGCCAGCATTGCAGCAACATTTACGTCATCGAGTGCACCGATTTATTGACTGTATTTACGAGCAATTCACTCGCCATTCCGTACACTATCTCTTTAAAACATCAAATGTGCCCAAATGATAGTCATTTCTCTTTAGCGACGTCGAAATGTGACCGTTCGATGGGCAAGACACCGCCAATGAGTCTTTTAAATGGAGTGTTCCACATTTGTATGGGGTTTTGAATTGAAAGAGCCATTTTGAAAATAATTCGGTGCAGTTCACAGCCCTTCCCTTCTTCAGACCTAACCCGTTCCATTTTGTGAGCTACACCCCCGCGAAGACATGCAGACTATTCCCAGGAGACCATTAATTCGTTGAAGTCTGGCGTTCGCGTGCACGATTTCTAGAAATAACAGCCACCAATTGGCCCGCAATCAATGTTGTGTAAGATACGATGACGTGACCAAACAATGACGTATTGAGAAACATATGTACTAAACAGGGAAATGTTGCCGCCTACAGCAGCCTTTTGGGCTATAAGGTATGAATAACAAGTTACGAGAGATGCAGAGCTTCAGCGCTACAGTAGCACTTGCAGCGTTGGGATAAAATACTTCACATGCCAGGTGGTCGATGTCATGCACCGCATCAAAAAGCCACCGCCAGGGTGCCTGTGGAGCCTGGAAAGGGCACAGCAGCAGCCGGGTTTCAGGCCAGGCTCTGGCCAGGGCGCTCCGTTCATTCCGTGAGTCGTCGGTGTGGATGACAGCCGGACTGCGGCAGCTACAGCCGCCAGACACATCTGTGGAAAACAAAACTTTACTCGATCTGTGCCGTGTCATGCACGACGAGAGCGGAATGCAGAGCTGACAGGCACTGTGAAAAGGGACGCTCGGGCATCTCCGAAGCGAGGCTGATGTCAGCGCAATTCAAAGAGGCGCTGGGAGTAAATAAGCTTCGAAAATCAATTCCAAGCCGCGTGGCATCATCGACCAGTCTCTACCGCGTCAGAGCCACGTTACCTGTGCAGTCGAGGGATGTGAAAACCCAGGACTCACACGACACGTCAAGGTGGAAGGTGCTATTCACAGTGATCCAAAGTATGGCTGAATGTCCTAGAAGGCGTGGGTCTCAGTCTGAAAACCAGAATCTGGTCGGTGGTGTGTTCAGTTGGATTCCTTTACACGTACCACCGGCTTGAGCGCATGCTCAATTTAATTTGTCGACAATTTGCTCCCAAAAGTACTTATGAACTAGCGCACAAACATCACACCTGTGTGATAGCCGCCGTTAAGCCCGCAAAGAAAGGCTAACTCGGTACCGCAATAATCAAAACCCTTACTATTGGTTGTCTAAGGTGTCTGAGGCAATAATTGGTGTCATAAATGATCGACACGGCAGAAATTGGCAAATGTCGCGCTCGTTCCAGGCTCGTCCACCCCACGCTGCACAAACATCATATGGTGTGTGCATGACATCAGTATTGGTACAGGCAATGTCGACACATCATCTGTCCTGATCGGCACGTGACGAGTCAGCGAACCCATCGGGGGACATGATTACACCTACCGCTGGCGAGCATGCCCAGGAGAGTTTCGAGGCCTCGTGCGACAATGTCCCCCGCTTCCGACGTCGAAAGGACGCTCAGCGCATGACCGCCAGCAATCTTCTCCAGTTCCGCAATCACCTGCTCTCTGAATGCTCTGCCAAACTGAGAAGGGAACATGGTGTAGTACAGCCTGGGAACAGAGGGCTGGCATGAACTCGATCATGGCGAGCTGAGTAGATATTTCGACTACCCGACGACGGAATGCAATTTACGTGATTCGTTGTGTGCTTATTCGCATGCGTCGTCTAATGCAGCAACGCTTTTTAGCAGGTATATTTGCCGTTATCTGTTGCATGCAGTCGTCCAATACGGTGCGAACCAGGCGTAGGTGGAGATGTAGGACGCATGAGAATGGTTCCGTGATTAGTTACCACCTAGCCAACAGCGAAAAACAAAGCAGGGTGACGAGCTAGTTGCGGGAATGTTGCCATACAATGGTGCATTTGAGTTGGAGATCGAAGTACACCAGAACTTTAAGAATAATAAGTACACTGTCGACCACAAGTACGCCTGAAACGATATCGTACTGCGCGTGTCCCAACGCAGGCCAGTTAGTTAGGGACGCAGACGGTATGTAATACAAAGGGGAGCGTTCCACATTTATATGGAGATTTGAACTGAAATAGCCACGTTGAAGACCTTTCAACGCTGTTCACATTCTTACCTGTCTCAAGACCCAAGTCCCTCTAGTTTCTGAGCTATACGTCCCCGAAAATAGGAAAATGTATATCGGGGAGAGTATTTCGAAGTCACATTGGCATTAATGATGTCATAATACCGTCATTCAAATCCTGCCGTTCCATAAGCCATGCGGTGATCAAGGCCGGGACAATTAGAACTGTCGAGGCCTCCATATCCGGCGTTCGTGAGCGCGATTTCCAGATATAAAGGCTTTTAATCGGCTCTCAATCAATCTTTTGCAAGCTACGACGACGTAAACAAACCATAACAAAATGAAGAGTACTTTTACCAAGCAGAAAATTGTGCTGTCTAGAACGGTCTTTTCCACTTAGCAATATACTAATAGATAAACGTGAGCTTGTTTTATCATATCTGATGTTTGCTTCAATGTCTTCAAATGTGGAACATGTCCTTCAAGCATGTTAATTATACACACCTACTGGAAACAATCTGAGACAACCGGTTATCTTGATGTGTATCGCATAATGCTGCAGCCAAGTCAATAGCGTTTTCGGATGAATTCATGACATCACAAGCCTGTCAGAACAGCGCTATCAGAGATCACTTAGTATGCCCATGTCATGCTTGGAACAGTTACTTCAATCGATGAGCCAGCTCACTGACAGGTGGTGATATGCAAGATTATACATGTGCAATTATCATCTCGTTACCCTAAACATTCAGCTCCACCCCTGGCAAACCATAGACAGGAAACAGTTGTACATCATAGCCAAAGGCCCATATGCCATTGTAATCTCAACTGGAACGTCGCTTGTTTTATGTAATCACGCTGTTGGCAGTCGTTGCAACGTAAGTCGTTGTTTTATGTGATGCAGCCGCATCTCCGACATTCCAGAAAATTTATCTTCGGACTGTTAAGTTACGTGACAAGAACGGATTAACGAAAGCATTTTGCATCCCAGATTTTTTACTAGAAAACCCTGCCGATGTTCGTGATGCCTTGCACTAACTAGCCTGTACACGAATCGTATGTCAAGCACGACGGGGCGATCGGCCGCCCCAAAGGGATAGTCACTCCCATGGTCGTCCTGGGGCTGCATCTTGAGTTTATCAAAAGCTGGTGGGTGGACAGGTCAAGCAGCCTCCCCTTTGCTGAAGCTGCACCTTGAGTGTCTCAAGAGCTGGTGGGTGGACAGGTCAAGCAGCCTCCCTTTGCTGAAGCTGCACCTTGCGTGCCTCAAGAGCTGGTGGGTGGACAGGTCAAGCAGCCTCCCCTTTGCTGAAGCTGCACCTTGAGTGTCTCAAGAGCTGGTCGGTGGACAGGTCAAGCAGCCTCCCCTTTACTGACTTCCCGATACGCCTGTACTTTAGAACTGCTGCAGTCTCTTTTGAGTGGTTGTGCGCCTTTCCTTTGCAGGTCGCTCTCAGACCATAACCTGCGCAACGCTTCTTGTTCCGGTTCCTGTAAAGACCAAACAATGATTGCGTAGCATCTTCATCACCTCGAAGATACATATGCCCATGATAAACAACCAAAGTTCACCCCCAAGGTGGTGCATGATCCGCAGTCTAACATCACCAGCACCGGAGTTGCGGATTCGAAGATAAAGTATGTTTATATATAGCCAAACAAAATGAAACCGCACTTCAATAAAACCATTGTGTTCGTAGTATGTAGGGAGAATAAAAAATACCGATATCGCCAACGACGCCGATACCGATACGACGCAAATGCATGCACTGATGCTGTCACAGTGCGCGAGGGAGGAAGGCGTGTTTTACATTAAGTAGGAAGACGGATTACGAATATGTCAGGGAAGCAGGCTATGCGAGAGCCAAGCTGACGAATGCGTGTCTCAGAGCTCGAACATCAATGAATATAGCGTGTGGAAGATCAGTACATGGCCAATGGGAAGGAGTGGTCCGTGAATGTTAAACAGCTGAAAGATGCTATCTTATGTACGTAGCCAAGGGAGGGAGCCATCACCTCCCCCCCCCCCCCCAAAGTGACGCGGTGTTTACACCAGAGAGTAGGTCATTTTACAGTGGTCAAAATGCGCAGGAGCTCGAAGAAAACGTAATCTTTGCCCCCCGCCCGCCGCCCCACCCCATCCCGAAGAAGAGTTTGGTCACATGCCTGTGTTAATTGAGATCTACGTTATACTGCTAAGCCCCGCGTGGACGTTAGATCGTCGGCGGCGAAGCTACCGACGCCAGCAGTGTCACCCCGGCGCGCGGCGAAGCAAGCGGAAACCTCTTAGATGACCTAAAAGTGGCTGTGGTCACATGGAGTCAACCATAGCCGGAATATACCATAGCATAAGTAAAGTGTCAACTTTTTCAGCGCGGGTTAAATGCCAACAAACCATGCCTGACGGGATAGACCCTTGCAGGTGGAATGCGTAGAAGCAAGATTCCCGTCGCTTAGAGCAGCTGAACCGGAGTGTGTAAGGCACATACAGATACACTTAGCGCAGAACGGGTTAATCTTTCCGGATAACATCGGCTTTTACGATTAGCATACCGCATTACTCACCTTAGGACAGCTTTACACGATCAGTCAAATCATGTGTTAAGTTTAGCTGATAAGATGTCAAAGAACAGCGAAAGGCAAGCGCAGCAGCATACTTTACTACGACGTACCACAGGTCAGCATTGGTGGTTCATGACGACTCATTGACTTGAAATGCACTGGCTACGACATATTGATAGCGCTCGCTTTCTCTGCCTTTCTTTTCAAGCTTTGCCGTGAGGGTTTTCGAACGGAGACGGCTGTCAGCAGCGTTGGGGAGTCGCAGCTTTTTTGACATGCTTTTTGTCGGTGGTTCGCGCGATTTGGGACGTTGTGATGGCAAAAAAGCCATGCTTGAAGCATTGTGCATCGTTAGAATATACACTGATGCATATAATGGGAAGCACAAGGGCATGGGACAAATCATCAGGATTTGACATTGAGTAGTGAAGTTAACGACCATGCGCAACACAGATATTCTGCAAAATGGCCGCACCTTACGAAACAGCGGAATGATGAAAGCGTAACTTTTTCAAGATGCGTGACTCAGTTCTCGTTGAAGTGATGCATTAATGATCGCATCTCACGTAAAAAGCAAGGAATGACGCGCATTTCGCTCAGAAAACGATTCACACCAATGGTAAATCACGTCGACTTCGCTTATCCGGCGGAGATGCCAGCAATGAATGCCACGAACCGAAAAACGCACACCCTGGATGCAAATGCAATTGAGTGACAGGATTTACAAGTCCACGGTTACTTCAAATTTGCATTGAAACTCACGAACCTTTTCGCCGAACAACTGTGCTAATCACACCCTTCCCATTTGATTGAACGGGCAGAATTAGAATGAACATACCATGTACACGACGAACTTTCCCCCAGATTTTGATAAGTAGAAAGGAAAGTGTCGTCTTAGTAACCGCCTGAAACATCTCGAGCCGTTTAAGGGTGCTGTCCTTGTGCGGCTTACACTTGGAGGCAGGCGTCGCGTCCTGATTCAATTCCTACAGGGAAACCAAATGATGCTTTTGCGTTTTTGGTTGAAAACAGCGGTTTGGAATGCGCGCCGGATTCTAGGGAGCCAGGCGTGACTGAAACAAGCTATACAAGCTCAATTCGTGAAGTACTCTGTGGAAAGCGCACCTCCTACATGCTTGTATGAAATTCCTGGAGTACACCCCCCAACTACAAGGAGTGAGCACTTCGCGCCACTTCAGCTATCAGAACCCACTTGTTTAAAAGCATTGTCCGCGGAAGTGGCGCTCGGACGTGGCGCCTGTTCCTAGCCCATTTCCTCGGAATGGAACGTCATGTACTTACCAGTTTTCTCCACCAGATAGGTCTCAGCAACAGGTTCAGTATGATGTCCCCCGCTGCATGTCGGAGAATGTCGCATCGCGTTCCACGGCCAAAACTTCCCCCTAATTTGCTTATGGTTTTGGGTTGTCACCAGTGCGTTGAGGTGATTTCTAATGGTTTGCAAATTATTTGTTATTTGCCAGTAAAGGATACATGCTTCTCGAAGATTATGCTGCATTTGGCTGTTCTTCAAAGAATGCTTTGCCAAGCACGCATGTGAATGCTGTTTTGATATTTTCTAGGCGTTGACTTTGCAGGAATTTTGGCTTCACTTGTGTGTCGCTTTTATGGAACACCACTGTTGCTGGTCAATGGTAAGGAACTCACTGCAGGTCTCAGCTTGGCCCATTTGGCCCGTGAAAGCAAAGCTGGTATGCGTGGTTACTGCTACTTTTAGAAATAATGGTAAGGTAACCTAATTAGGTGTGGGACTCGCTCTTTTTATACCACGTGTATGAAACGGGCCACACTGTTTGATATCGGACAATACAGAATAAGATAGTTGTGTTATATGTATTGTATTATAAGTATATTAATAACAAAACTTGATATCGGACAAACAAATAAAAATACTTGTGCATTTTTC